AAACCTCTTTCTAAATGGTCACATCTTACCTGGATGGGGACCACCCTGTCCCCTGGTCAGGAGCTATAGTGCAGGGGTTAGGGGCCAGTGAATGTTTTTGTTTGTTTTGTTAATCCTCACACAAGGACATTTTTTTTCATTGACTTTAGGAGAGTGGAAGAGAGGGAGAGGATTGAACCTGCAACCCAGGTTTGTGCCCTTCACAGGAATCAAACCTGAGACCCTTCAATGGGTTATCCAATGCTCTAACCTAGGGGTGTCGAACTCAATCAGAGAAGGGGCCAAAACCTAAAATCCAGCCTAAATCGCGGGCCGAATGGTTTACTGAACAGTCATAAACTGTCATTGTGATGGAAACGCAGCAGAGTGCAGTGATGACAGCGCGGTGCGGGCCACATTGCAAGGCCTGGTGGGATGGATTTGGCCCGCGGGCCTTGTGTTTGACACATGTGCTAACCATTAAGCAACACTGGCCACAGCAGGGACAGTGAACTTTTTATGTGCAGATGGAGCCTGTGAGTTAGGACAAAAGGGAAAGCGGGCGGGTACAAGAGTTTGTTATTCTGAAATAATGAACTGTCCTATCTTCAGCAGTGGGGTTTCTCTGAGGGCGAGCTATGGAAAACCCAGACATAACCCAGCATCCAGAGGATCCAGGCATGCATGTCATGCTGTACTCACACCATGGAAAATGGGAGAGAAACCCTCAAGCTTTGTTTTCTGCCTCAGCTAGTGCTGGTGCAACTGTAGCCCTGCTGGGGTCTCTGGGGGACTTAGGCCACAGTAGCTAGATAGCACCCAGTTGCCAGGAGTCTGGAGGCAGAGCCCCTGGCATCAGAGTGAAGTTTGCAGGTTGGCTGGGTGTGCTTCTGCCATGGATGTGTTCTCTCAGGAAGTCTGCTTTAATGAATCCAGAGGAATAATTTGTAATCAGCCTGTCAAATGTTCTGCAGCACTGTTTTAGCTGGAATCTCACTTTCTATAAGTCTGGGCCCTATAGTGAATGAAGATTCTTCATCAGGGTCTGCAGTCCTCCTACCCCATATCCTGTGTAGCTGGGGGGGGGGGGGGGATAGTTCTTCTCCTCAGGAGTCCATGCTCACCGAACCATAGGGAGCTGCCAGGTCTCATTGCCCTGGACTGCTGTCTGCCAGGGCTCCTGGGAACCAGGCCCAAAAAGCTGGGTTTTCTCCTACCAGGGTAATTCTCAGACCAAGCCTAACTGTCACCAGCCCTGGTCCAAGACAGCCTCTCTTCTCCATTCCCTCTGCAATCCGCCCTTCCCACCCCACTTTCTTATTCTCCCTCACCAGGGCTGGTACTTGCAGCTTACTTTTTAATTTGGAGTGCCTTCATCACTCCATTTGCTTAGGGCATGGGGAGTCACTGAAGAAACCACACTGGGGACTTCTTTTCTTTATTTTGTGTTTTCTGACTAGAATATACCACTAGTGTATTATTTTGATACTGTCCATCTTACTGACCTCTCTCATATTTTCTTATTAGTTTTTCAGTCGATTCTCTTGAGTTTTCTGGATAAACAATCATATCATGAACAAATAATGATAGCAATTTCTCCTCCTTCCTGAACATTTTGCTTCTTTTTTTTAAAAAAAATATATTTTTTGCTTAAAGTATTATAAAAAGTAATACATATATCTCCTTTTTCTCCCCATTGACCTTCCACCAGTCTCCCCTACCCCCAGTATCTTTCGTCCATTGGTTATGTTTATATGCATGCATACAAGTCCTGCAGTTGATCTCTTACCTCCCCCTGCCAGCCCTCCCAAGTCTTTCTGCTGTAGTTTGACAGTCTTTTAGATGTTGCTCTGCCTCTGTATCTATTTTTGTTCATCAGTTTATAATGTTCTTTATTATCCATAAACAAAATGAGTGAGATCATGTGGTATTTTTCTTTCATTGACTGGCTTATTTAACTTAGCATAATGCTCTGCAGTTCCATCCATGCTGTTGCAAATGTTAAGAATTCCTTCTTTTTACAGCAGCATAGTATTCTATGTGTAGATATACCACAGTTTTCTAATCCATTCATCTGCTGATGGGCATTTAGGCTGTTTCCAAATCTTAGCTATGGTAAATTGTGCTGCTATGAACATAGGGGTTCATATATCCATTCTGATTACTGTTTCTGTTTTCTTGGGATATATTCTTAGAAGTCGCATTACAGGGGCAAATGGGAGTTACATTTTTAACTTCTTGAGGAAACTCCATACTGTCTTCCACAGTGGCTGCACCAGTCTGCATTCCCACCAGCAGTGCACAAGGGTTCCTTTTTCTCTGCTTCCTTTGTTGATTTGTTGATGATTGCCATTCTGACAGGTGTGAGATGGTACTTCATTGTTGTTTTGATTTGCATCTCTTGGGTGATTAGTAACTTTGACCATGTTTTCATATGTCTCTTGGCTTTCCAAATGTCCTCTTTTGCAAAGTGTCTATTTAGGTCCATTGCCCATTTTAAAAACTGGATTATCTTCCTTTTGTTAAGTTGTATGAGTTTCCTGTAAATGTTGAAGATTAAACCCTTATTGAAGATAATATTGGCAAATATGTTCTCCCACGCATTGGACTTTTTTGTGGTTGTTTTGTTGATGCTTTCTTTTGCTGTGCAGAAGCTTTTTATTTTGATGTAGTCTCATTTGTTTTATTTTCCATTGCCCTAGGAGCTGTATCAATAAAGATATTGCTATGACAAATGGCTGCTATTTTGCTGCCTATGGCTTCTTCTACTAAGATTTGTATGGTTTCCCATTTTACATTTAAGTCCTTTATCCATTTTGAGTTTATTTTTATGTACGATGTAAGTTCATGGTCTAGTTTCTTTTCTTTCTTTCTTTTTTTTTTTTTTTTGTAAGTATCTGTCCAGTTTCCCCAACACCATTTATTAAAGATAACTGTTTTGTCTCCACTGTATGCTCTTTCCTCCTTGTCAAATATTAAATGAGCATACTGGCTTGTGTCAATTTCTAGGTTCTCTTTTCTGTTATTAATACATTGGTCTATATGTCTGTTCTGGTGCTAGTACCAGGAAGTTTTGAGAATTGTCACTTTGTAGTACAGCTTGATATTTGGTATTTGATCCCTCCTACGTTGTTCTTCTTTCTCAAGATTGCTGCTGTTATTCGGGGTCTTTTTTTTCATTCCAGATGAACTTTTGGAGAGTTTGTTCTAGGTCTTTGAAGTATGCCATTAGTATTTTAATGGGGATTGAATTAACTTTATAGATTGCTTTGGGTAGTATGGATATTTAGATTATGTTGATTCTACCAATCCATGAACATAATATATTCTTCCATTTGTTCATGTCTTCCTCTATCACTTTGTTCAATGTCCTGTAGTTTTCTGAGTCCAGGTCTTTTACGTCCTTAGTTAAGTTTATTCCTAGGTATCTTAAATTTTTTTTTGGTGCAATGATAAATGGGATTGTTGTTTTTTGTTTTTTTCTTTCTTCTCTTTTGGTGAGTTCATTATTAGTGTATAAAAATGCCATTGATTTCTGGGTATTAATTTTGTATCCTGCTACTTTGTCAAATTCACTTATTAGGTCCAGTATTTTTTTTTTTAATGGAATCTGGAGTTTTCTATGTACAATATCATGTCATATGCAAATAAGGGCAGTTTTACTTCTTCTTTTCCAATTTGGATGCCTTTTATTTCTTCTTCTTGTCTGTTTGCTGTGGCTAGCACTTCCAGAACTATGTCAAACAGGAGTGGTAAAAGTGGACATACCTGTCTTACTCCCGTTCTTAGGGGAAATGAGTTTAATTTTTGCCCATTGAGTATCATGTTGGCTGTAGGTTTGTTGTATAATACTTTTATTATGTTGAGGTATGATCCCTCTGTTCCCACTTTGCTAAGAGTTTTTATCAAGAAAGGATGTTGAATTTCGTTAAATCCTTTTTTCTGCATCAATTGATATAATTATGTGATTTTTGCCTCTCAAATTGTTTATTTATTGTCACATTTATTGATTTGCAGATATTGTACCATCCTTGCATCCCTGGAATAAATCCCATTTGGCCATGATGTATGTTCCTTCTAATGTAATGCTGAATTTGATTTGCTAGAATTTTATTGAGGATTTTAGCATCTATGTTCATAAAGGATACTGGCCTATAGTTCTCGTTTTTGGTGGTGTCTTTATCTGGTTTTGGGATTAGGGTAATACTGGCTTCATAGAAAGAACTTGAAAGGGTACCTTCCTCTTGAATTTTTTGAAATAGTCTGAGGAGGATAGGTTTTAGTTCTTTGAATGCTTAGTAGAACTCCCTTGTAAACCCATCTGGACCAGGGCTTTAGTTTGCTAGAAGATTTTTTTTTTATCGCTTCTTCAATATCTTCAATAGTTATTGGCCTAATCAGGTTTTTTGATTCTTCTTGATTGAGTTTTGGGAGCTTGTATTTTTCTAAGAATATGTCCATTTCACCTAGGTTGTCTATTTTGTTGGAATAGAGTTGTTTATAGCATTTTTTCCCATAGTAATTTGTATTTCTGTGGGATTAATTGTTACTTCATCTCTTTCATTTTTGATTGTGCTTATTTGGGTCCTCTCTCTTTGCTTTTTGTTGAGTCTGGCTAGAGGTTCATCACTCTTGTTTATCCTTTCAAAAAACCAGCTCTTGGTTTTGTTTGTTTGTTTGTTTATTTATTTATTTATTTATTTATGTCATTTATCTCTGATCTGATCTTTACATTTCCTTTCTTCTGCTTATGCTGGGCTTTTCTTGTTGCTCTCTTTCTAATTCTTTGAGTTGTAGAGTTAGATGATTTATTATCATTTTTTCTTGTTTTTGAGATAGGCCTGCAGAGCTATGAACTTCCCTCTCAAGCCTGCTTTCACTGTGTCCCATAGATTTTGGATTGTTGTACTTTCATTTTCTTTTGTTTCCAGGATGCTTTTTATTTCTTCTTTGATTTCTTTGGTAAACCCAATCATTGTTTAATAGCATGCTATTTAGCCTCCAGATATTTGCTTTTTAAAATTGTTTTTATTGTAGTTGATTTCTAGTTTTATGCCATTGTGATCTGAGAAGATGATTGATATGGTTTCTATCTTCTATCTAGAGACTTTGCCTGTGCCCCAATATGTGGTTTATCTTTGAAAATTACCTATGTGGAGAAACCAAGGTGGCAGCATAGGATAGACATCCAAATGCAGCCGACTACAACAAATTTGAATTTAGAACTGGAAAACAGGGGAGGCATTGCCCTGAAGCACCTGACAGCTAGCTGAAAGGAGGCTCTGTCATCAAGGAAGGAGAGAGAAGGCACGCTGACCCTCAGGAACTGTGAAGGTATAGAGAACTGTGCACGTGAAAAGGCGCTGGCTGACTCCCGGTGCACAGAGAGGGAGGGCCGGGCTGAGTTGACTACTGGCTTACTCCCGGGGTGCAGAGAGGGCGGACAGCTAACACGCAGCTGGATTTCTTGTTAGAGAGGAAAACAGAATCACCCTATTGCTCTGATAGACGGCCCCAGTCAGGGAGAGGCCAGACTGTCAGGCAGCGGGCAGAGATCTCTCAGAGGTGTGTGAAGCCAGAGGCCATTACTGCAGGACTAGGGGAGGAGCTGACTGGAAAACAAAGCTTGTCTGCACCAACCCAAGACTCTGCCCCATCCAAGCTGAGCACAGAAGCTCTCCCAGAGGCTGGCTTTCTCTAAGGAGGGACTGGCTGGAATCCAAAACTTGTCTGTGCCTTTACCAAAGAGGTGCGCATGCCTACAACCAATCTTGCAAGATTCACTGTGAACAGGACTTTTCTAAGGCACAACTGACAGGAAACTAAAGATTGTCTGTGCCTCCCCGAGACTCCGCCTCATCCAAGCGGAGTACAGAAGTCCTCCTAGCTGAGATACTGCTGATCCTCACAGCCAATTGGCTTGGAGATCAACGCTTCCCAGTAATACCAACAATAAGCAAGGCTTAACAACAAGACTGCACACAAAGCCCACAAAGGGCTACACCAAGACTGTCCACCACAGGTAACTGGGAAGGCTGTGCTACTGAGCTCTACCAGAACACCTAGCACACAAAACTATTCCATCAAATCAGGAAAACAACTAAAATGCAGATAAAAGGCAGGACACAAAGGAAGGAGATGGAGGAAAAGAAAAGAATGGACATTGAGTTCAAAACTACAGTTATAAGGCTTTTCAAGAATATCTTTAAAAAGGCCGATAAAATAAATGAGATCTATGAGGTTATGAAAACTGATCAACTAGAAATAAAAAGGGATCAACTAGAAATAAAAAAGGATCAACTAGAAATAAAGAATACATTGTCTGAAATAAAAAATTTTACACAGAGTCCTAAAAACAGACAGGAAGATCGCAAGAATCAAGACAAAGATTTAGAACACAAAGAGCCAGAGGACACTCCTCTGCAGAAGCAAGAAGATAAGAGAATCCAGAAAGTTGAAGATAGTGTAAGAAACCTCTGGGACAATTTCAAGCGAACCAACATCAGAATTATGGGGATCCCAGAAGAAGAGAAAGAGCAAGATACCGAAAGAATACTGGAAGAAATAGTAACAGAAAACTTCCCCCACTTGGGGAAAGAAATAGTCCAGGAAGCCCGCAGAACCCCAAACAAAAGGAATCCAAAGAGGACCACACCAAGACACATCATAATTAAAATCCCAAGAGCAAAAGACAAAGAGAATATTAAAAGCAGCAAGAGAAAAGCAGGTAGTTACCTAAAAAGGAGCACCCATATGATTGTCAGCTGATTTCTCAACAGAAACCATGCAGGCCAGACAGGAATGGCAAGAAATATTCAAGGTGATGAATAACAAGAACCTACAGCCATAAAATACTCTACCCAGCAAAGCTATCACTCAGAATCTAAGGCCAGATAAAGACCTTCACAAATAAAGAAAAGCTAAAGGAGTTCATCACTGCCAAACCAGAATTATATGAATTGCTGAAGGGGGCTCTTTAGGAAGAGGAAGAAGATAAAGATAAAAATTATGAACAACAAATACTATCAACAAATGAAACTAAAAACCAAGGGAATTAAAAAATCTGATGAACAATATCAACTGTTGAATATAATAGAATCAGAGGTATGGAAGGGAAGTGGACTGACGATTCTCAGGGAAAAGGAGAGTGGGGGTGCAGGTAGAGACTGAAGAAAAACTGTGCAGCTATGGATGAGGACAATGGGGGATGGGGAAAGGACAGAGGGTGGGGTGAGAACCTAGTGGAGGGGAGCAAATAAGGGGTGGGAAGAAGAGGAACACATTTGTAATAATCTGAACAATAAAGATTTATTTAAAAAAAAAAAGAAAAAGAAAGAAAAAAGAAAAGAAAAAAAAGAAAATGACCCATGTGCACTTGCGAAGAATGTATATTCTGCAGCTTTGGAGTGGAATGTTCTGAAGATGTCAATTAATTCCATATTTTCTAGTCATTAGTATTGTGCAGGAAGTGCCGGGAGGTCAATTAGGATTGTTGTTTCTTTGCTGATTTTTTGTTTAGAAGATTTGTCCAGTGGTGTTATTGTCCAGTGGGGTATTAAAGTCCCCTATTACGACTGTATTGCTGTCAATCTCTCCCTTGATATCCTCCAGAAGGTGGGTTTTTTTGTTGTTGTTGTTTTGTTTTTTGTATTTGGATGATCCTGTATTGAGTGCATATATGTTTACCAGAGTTATATCTTCTTGTTGTATTGCTCCCTTTTACCTTATAACCGTGGTTTTGAACTCTCTATCCAGTAGTTTGCTTTCCTCCATTTTGTTATTTGTCACCTGTTTCTTTGTCTCTGTGTTTTGGCTGCTTCTCTGTGTTGATAGAGTGGCTTTGTGTGCTAGGTGTCCTATAGGGCCCAGTGACTCAGCCTCCTTAGTTACCTGACGTGGACACTCTTGGTACACCCCTTTGTGGGTTGTGTGCACAGTCTTGGTGAGTTAAGCCTTGATTGCTGTTGGTATAACTGTGAGCAATTGAACTCCCAGCCAGTTGGCTATGAGGAGCAGTTCTGTCTACAATGGGAGAACTTCTGTGCTGGAGACACCCATATGGGACAGGACTTGCTTTAGTGGGGCTTTGGCACTCACTGAGTCTGCCCCCTGAGTGTGTCTCTTATGAATGTGAAGAGTTGTAATTTGGATGGTCTCACTCTGACCACTGGGTACACTGGCTCTTAGATCTCCAAGGAAGTGCACAGTCAGCCACTGCCTGAGGCCACCCAGCAGGAGCTACAGAGAGATATGCAGATTCTTCCTCTTTTTGGGGGGTTTGGAGGTGCCCAAATGAGGCTCAGCTGTGAAGCAATGCAAACTGCTGTCCAGACTTGGTCTTTCTTTTGGAGGCTCTGGGGCTATTTGACCCAGCTGCAGTTTGACAGGTTTTTAGGTGGAAAAAGGCTAAGCCATTTTTTTATGCAAAAGCCTCCGTGTACAGTTGAGGTGGATTCTCAGGGAATCACCAGGGTGGAGCAAATAACAATGGCTTCTTATCAGCCCTACCCTGAAGAGGCCCTGGGTCTCTGTGGCTCACAGCACCATGCTAGAACAATGACTGCTGCAAGCACCTCTGAGAGTAAGCTGCCCTCACATTCTGGCCTGATGCCAGACAGTCCAGATTCTTCCATATGAGTCTGGGTCCCCAGAGTCTCACCCAGAACTTGAGTTCAGAGCAGTTGGGAACTTTAATCTCCCTCCTGATTGAAAAGACAATAGCATACCCAGTTACCAGCCCCTTTCGAGTGCACCTCTGTACCTCTGCACTTCACTTCCACATTTCAGCACCTCCTACCAGACTCAATGCGCTTTTCTATTTCCTTTTAGTTGTAGAATTTCCACTTAGACAGCCTTCCTGTGGTTCTGGATGATATTTGTTTTTCTTTTATTTGTAGTTTTAATGTGGTTGTGTGTGGCAGCAAGTTCAAATGTTTACCTATGCCACAATCTTGATTGTCCCCCACCATTTTTATTCTTTATGTCTGTGTTCCTTCTTCCCTTTCTATTTCTTCTTTTTATAGCAGATCCTTTAGCATTTCTTGCATTGCTGGTTTGGTGGTAATACAGTCCCTTAGTCCTTTTTTGTCTATGAAGCTCCTGATTTCATCCTCAATTTTGATTGATAGCCTTGCTGGGTAGAGTATTCTTGAATTCAGACCCTTGCTTTGCATGACTTTGTATATTTCATTCCATTCCCTTCTGGTCTGATGTGTTTCTGTTGAGAAATCAGTTGATAGTCTGATGGGAGATCCTTTGTAGGTAACTTTCTGTCTCTCTCTGGCAGCCTTTACGAATCTTACTTTGTTGTTGATATTTGCCTATTTAATTGTAATGTGTCTTGGTGTCAATCTTTTTGGGTTCATCTTGTTTGGAACTCTCTGAGCTTCTTGGACTTGCATGATTTTTTTTCTTCCCAATATCAGGGAAGTTTTCTGTCATTATTTCTTGAAACAGGTTTTCTATTCCTTGCTCAGTTTCCTCTGCTTCTGGCACCCCATGTGGATGTTGCTTTGTTTTGTGTTGTCCCAAAATTCCCTTAGGTTCTCCTCCTGTTGTTTTTTTTTTTTTAAGTTTTGTTTGGGGGTGTATTTTTTCCTACTTTGTCTTCTAGCTCACTGATGCAGTCCTCTGCTTTTAGTCTACTTTGATGCTTTCTATTGCTTTCTTTATCGCAACACTGTCATTTTTCATTTCTTCTTGGTTCTTCTTAATTTCCTCTTGGTTCTTAAACATATTGTTGAATTTGTCTTCCATCCTTTTCAGCAATCTTATGACCATTGGTCTGAATTCTTTCTCTGTCATATTACTAGCCTCCATTTCATTTACTTCTTTTTCTGGTGATTCCTCCTTTTCTTTCACATGCGTTCTATTTCTTTGTCTCCCCATGGTTGCTACTCTCAAGGTTTCTGATTATGTAGCTCTCCCTTTCCTGTATTAACTTTCTTTAGGCAATGCTAGCTGTGTTTAACTCTCCAGTTCCAGGTGGTTGCTCTTTGATTCACCTGTTCCTTATGCTCTGTGAGAAAGTTCAGGGCCTGCATATGATTTTGCACTTTTGTCTCCCCCTGAGCAGACCTCCTAGGTGCTTGTGGTCAGGGAGGTTGAAGTTCTGGCATTTGTGATTCACAGCTGAGGTAACTGGTCACTGGACATTGTAGTTTTAAGGTGCCAGGTGGCATCTGAGATTTCCCCAGTTGAAGGTAAGGCTGGGGTTATGATCCAGTCAGTTTTTTTTTTATCATAGCCATCTCCCCTTAAGATCATGCAGCCTCTGCAGCAGAGCTGGCTGCTCTGGGAGAGATTTCAGCTGCAGTATAGGCTTCCCAGTCATGGGAGGCCAGTCCACTAGTCTCCAATAGCCCCTTGGAGTATAGCTGTCCTTCACTCACAAATACTGACACTCCCCGCACATCCACACAGTCTCTTTTCATTCTCTCACTCTCACACTATCTAGCAGCCTGCAGTCTCATCATCAGCCATCTTGGATCTCGCTTCTTTTTCTTTTCAATGTACTGTTGTATTGGCTAGAACTTCCAGAACAATGTAAAGCAATTGTGTTAATTGCAGACATTTTTGTCCCACTCTGACTTAAATATGAATACATTTTGCTGATATTTTATTGCTAAATATGATGTTGATTGCTGTTTGCACATAGATATTTTTATTATGTCAAGGAAATGCTTTCTTCTTTTATTTTATGAAGTGTTTTCATCAAATGTGTCTTTGGCATCAGTTAAGATGGTCACATAACCTTTTTTTTCCTACTAATTGACATGATTAATTAGATAAACCTTTTTTTTATATGAAGTGGTCTTTACCTCATTGTATTTCTAATTTCTAATGTAGTCATCCGTGAAATGGGAAGGCGACCCACTGACCCAGAGAAATCTGGTTGAATAGCAGACCTAGCTTTTGCTCTGCCTTGCCCCCCAATCTCAGGGAGGCTCACTGTAAATGCCAAGGGCTTGAGCTGTGTCTCTGGAGAGCTGGATGAGGTGTCAGCTGGTCCCAAAAGTGATCTTGAAAGTTAAGTCAGATCAGATGATTCCCTTAGGTGGCTCCTCATTGCCTTCAGCAGAAACTCAAATTTCTAGGTGCATTGCCCAAGCCTCTTACAACTGGTCCTGTCCAAAACTCCACCTTGTTACCCCACCTTCTCTCTTCTAACTTCACAGAAATCCTGGATGGTAACAACTCTCTTACATGCTGCTCCCCTGCCTGAAATGTCCTTCCCACTTTCCTCCCCAGATTGGACTCAGAGGTCCCTCCATGGAACCTTCCTGACCCAGCAGGCTTGGGTAGGAGACTCTCCCCAGGTGACAATTCCTGCCCTCACCACCTCTTTGGTATTTACCAGGTGAAGGTGGTCCTGTGTGCACCTCCACCTCCAGGAGCTCCAGCAAGCTAAGCACCATCTAGACGCCCCCCCCCCCCTGCCCAGGGTTTCATCTTCCAGCCCCACCCTGCTCCACAGTAGTGCTGCTCTATCAGGACTAGCGTGAGCACACTCCAAAAACACCCATGCACACACTCTTGCGCCCATATTCCTGGATGTACATGCTGAGCCCCGCACTGCTGTTCACCACCAGGGCTCCATGTCCTAACTCCTAGCAGTTAAGTGTTGAAGAGCCCCAATTGAGGCCTCACAGGTGACTGCAGCTCTCTGGGGCCTCTTTAGAAAATTTAACCAGCCTTATTTCCTCCTCATAAAAAATGGCATATACTTAGCACAGTTGGATCCTAGAGAAGAGTGCTTCCCCCAAAAGCTCCCGCCATTGGAGGCACAGGAGGGGGAAGCCAAGTGGACCCAGATGACCTCTCAGAAGGCAAAGGTCTTTTTCCTCTCCCTTTCTTCTAACTACCCAGCTGTTCCCATGAGCTGTGGGATGGTCTCAGGGCTGCACACCAGCACCAGCCCAGCCTCTTCTCCTCTTCTGCCTACCTCTCCACATGGATGGAGTCCTAGATATCATTAAGTGACTGCAGAGTGCTCTGTAACACCGCTGTGGGTGTATTCAGACAGGGTGATGTGATGATGAAGATTTCTTTATCTTCCTGAGCTGGATTCCACATACCTGCATACATTCACTCCTAAACACACACACTCACATGCATTCCAGCTCTCCTGGTGGCCACACTTTTTATTCAAGGAGCTTGAATGGATGCTTGAAATCTCTTTGCAATTAACACGCTGCTGCAGTATTATTAGCCTCTGATAGGCAGGTCTGCCTTTGTCAGAGACTATAAATATGTGGGACCAATGACTCAGCAAATCTGCTGCTATTTTTCTTGCAGATCCATGTGGATCTGTGTTTGTGTACACTATGGTCCCATCTCCCAGTAGCTCCCATTGCTTGTATCCATGGAAACACAGTCCTCCCCAATTACAGTACTCTTGGAGAC